CAAATGGACCTTCTTTATGTTAAAATTCATGTGCTCCAACTTTAATAGTCTCTGTGCGATGTGCATGTGTTACAACTGTTTTTTACCACTATTTCGCTCCTGTCGTTGGAGCTTCACAAAATTTCACATGAAGGTTTGTTGGGTCCGTCCGGAGATACCTGCAAATTTGCGGTTTCACATTTTGCGTTTTGCAGTTTTTACGAGCGTTTTTTACAATTACATGTAAGGGAAGCAACTTTTCATGTCCTCAGATAACCTTTCGTTAATCATGAACTTACATAACTTTCGTCCAGGGGACGGGTACTCCAGCTAGTTATAAATATGTTTTTATACGAACGCTAAAAACGATGGTCTACGCTTTGTAATGTCTTCGTAAATTCTAAGTCAGATAATTCCGACCGTACGTTTCCGGTATTTCAGATTACAGAAAACGCACTGTAACCGATTGAGCGTGAAAAATCTAGGTTATTGTATACAAGAAGTATCTGATTTTGAGAGTATGGTGAGGTAGGTGGTGCTAGATGTATGTAGATTTCGCTTAGCGATTTTTATTTTCTGTGGAATATCAATAATGGCCATTTTTAAAATCTAAATCAATAAAAAATAATGCTATTGTTTTATAGGGATTTTAAATGTGTAAAACCCGTTAGTTCCGGAGGAGCTTACATATCTTCCCCCTAATTGGCTAATTTTAGCGGAATTACGAGATTGTCTCGGCTGTAATGCCCCATAGTTGAAAATGTGGAACGTATTCAGCGGCTTGTCGTGAGTCAAACCTTGGATCTTCAAATTCACATCCCGGCACAACTATAGGAAGATCCTGTACACCAAAATATATTGCAGAACATCAAATACCTTCAGTGGGTATATTTATGCAGGGCCACTAGGACCCACCATGGGTCCTAGGGAAGAAGTGATGAGTCCACCAGAATAGTGATTAAAGACACTGTTAATGTCTAATTAAATGTTCCGTACTTGTTTAATACATTCTGTTAACAATTTTTGCTGCTCTCATGAACCTTTGCTGGTCACTACACCCCAAGGATATATCCCCCCCCCCCGCATCCACGCCCTCTCGGTGGCCTGATTATGTGTAGTACACATAACAGAAAGTTAAAACATTAATAATGTTTTACCTTCTACAATATTTATGTGAAACACTATTTGGCAAATAAAAATCAACTGTCGAAATCATACCAAGTACTTATGACACTTTAAAACAACTTTTATACAATACTGATGTTAATAATTTTTGCAAAGACTTTAATTTTATTGCCCTTTAGAAATAAGCTAAACAGTAAGTAATTGTTACCGTCTTCTATCTGCTGTGATATTTAAATGATGACGGATGTAAGATAGAGAATTTAAGAATAACCAAGTCATTTTTTTTATTTTAACTAGCCATTTGATAATAACTTAACTTTTTAAATGTAATATCAATATCCCAATTAAGTATTATCATCATAATGTATACAAACTCTTAAGTAGAAAATATGGTAACGATCAGAGACAAAATAAAGGTAAATGTGTTTTGTAATTTTGTTTTTAATTCCATTTTAATTCAACATTCATAATTTAGGTATGTAAATAGGTATAAATGCAGACCAAAGCAGAGGGTACGACGAATGAAATAATGTATTAAGCTTCTACGTTATATTTTCAACTTTTCCTTTAGTGAAAAAATAAACAAATCTGTAACGTGATAAATGTATGTCGTTTGGTTGTTAGCGAACGTTCGCAATGGAACAGTTTTTGT